CCTGAAGAACGCGTGATGCTAGAAACAGCGTCATTGCAGAAGCGAGTTCCCTGTGACGTCGTCTTGTAATGGCTTCTGAACTGGTCCTCGCGCCCCAGGATGGCCTGTCTGTTCTTTCCTCCTGACACACTCGTTTAGCTCTTAACTCACAAGACGTTTGCTTATTTATTTTCATTGTTCTGATAATAATTCTAAGCCATTAGAGGGGAAAATTGTATTCAAAAATGCTGTTTCACACTTTATTTGTTTGATGATTTAGACCGATAGAAAATAGCACATTTGCTAGCTTTTATAGTCTGATAATTATCCACATCCATCAAGCCATTCCAGGGGAATAAACAAAACACCAAGAAAATTACACTATTAATGACATCCTTTATGGCAAGCAGGAAGGATCTTTCTTTTGTATTGAAGATAAAAAGGGGACAGTCCGGTTAAACTTACTCCCTGCCAACAAAAGCAAGCTACCACTTCATGGCAGTGCTAATCTAACATGTTTGTAGGTTTGGGGCAAAGAACTTCTAGAGCTGGGATCCTGTGGCTTGGTAATTAAAATCAGAATCCGTTTTTTCAGGATACTCCAGAAGTCTTGAAAATTACCCTGAGGTAGTTATCAGATATGCTAGAATTAGATTTTTGTGAAACAACTTTGGAAGCTGAAAGTCTCTTGCTTAGTAAGTTCTGGATTTCTCCAAGTGATACCTGATCTATTTCAGGGGCCTCCTTGCTCCTATTTCAGTAAAGAGACTAGGAAGAGGTAATTTAAAATGATCAGTATATTACTTGCAGATTGCTGACTTCAGGGTAAGATGACATTTGAGTCATGTAGCTATAATTTCTTTATTTTGAGACTTTTCTCCCCTCCCTTAAATCTTGTGGCAAAGCAGCGACACAGGTTATTCATACCATAACCCAACAAATTGTTGAGCGGCAGGTTTTCAGGTTAGATTTGGCGCTCTGTTTCAGTCAGCTCCTGGAAGGCTGGCTCATGAAGGTGCTTACTAGGGTGTAGTCTCTTCTTTTGTTTGCAAGCCCAGTTTCCTGGGAGTTTGATGCATCTCCAAACAGCTGCTTGTTTAGCTCTGTTTAGGTAGACTTAGCTTTCAGCAGGGAACCTTGCTGAAGCAAAAGGGACAGATTCTGCTCTTGAGGCAGTGACTCAAGGTCACTGTTTTTGACGCGGTTGTGTTTCTCGCTGGCTGTTGCAGATGTCTTCTCTGAAGTAGTCCTCTATAAAAAGCTTGTTCTTACCAAGGGCTGTTAAAATAGTTTATGCATCGCTTCTCTTTTAGTTTTGTGGCTATTTGGGATGATGGAAAATCCTTGCTCCATCTTCTGCTGTGGTTTAAAGCAGTATCCTTTCAAGGCTAAGTCAAAGTTAGGCCTGTTTTATTCCTAATTCAGTTCTATGCAGGCAGTGGGATATCCCAAAACTGCTCCTGTTAACGCTGCTGAGGTATCGAGTAGCTGTCAGACTGATATTTTCGTCTGGTTACAGCCCAGGTCAAGATCTTTAGTGATTATTGTGGTCTCTTTTGGCCAACTAATCTAAAAATCCTAGGGTGGGTTTGTTTTTTTTTTTTTGGCTTGTTCTCAGCTGCTTTTTCTTCTTTTCCCGTGTCTCCACAGTGGAGTACATTTATGCTATGATCTAAATGGGACGGGTAAGGGAAATAATTTTATATGCAGTCTGGTGTTGGGGGGTGTTTTGTGTGTGTGTGTACGTGGATTTTTTTTTTCCTTTTTTTTCTTTTTTTTTTTTTTTTTTAAGATTTTGGTAGGATTTTGGTGCGGAGAGTTTGTTTTTGAGCAAACCAACTACCTTTTAGCGTTGGGGCTGAAATACTAAAGGAAGAAGCAGCGTTACTATTTGGTTAAAAAAAGCTTGAAGTATGCAAAATGATGCATGCCTAAAAGGAAATTTATATTGTAAATGCTTTACCATGCATAATTTTGGCAGTTGTCTCTGGAATTAAAGATGTTTTGCTGTTGATCCAAGCCCCAACCTGTGGGTACAAGAGGGACGGTAACAAATCGTGTTGAATGACAGCGTTCTGTCAGCTGCTTCTATCATGGATTTTGTCCCTAATAAATGCCTGGCCATTTTTCATAGTGAAAGCAGGAGGATGATACCATAAGGTTGTACACAAAAGCCAGCCCTTTATGGATGTTTATATGCTCAATTACAGTACCCCTTTGATTGCAGCAATTTCTAATCTTTCCATGTCACATCCATTGTTATCCTACCTTGTAATCAATCATTTTATGTCTGATCATATAGAGCTAGCTAGCTCAGTCTGTGCCATACTTGCAGAAGCCTTCTGTTTCTCTCACTGGTCTTAAATAGCAGCCCCAAATCTTTCTTTACTGCCTATGTCTATGTAAATCAGTCAGATTTGTAAGTGTAACTTAAAGCAGAATTTGACCTATTTTAATGGTCTTCTGGAGTTAATTTTGTGAATTCCCAAGAAGAAATCTATAAGGATATATAGGCTTTACTTTCTAAAAGACTAGCCCAAACAAAAAAGTTAATTTGTTAATTTTTAAAATTGGAACCAGCTGTTACTCTGTGAGTCTATTCTGTGGTAGGGTATTTTCACTTGTATATTATTACATATAGTTTGTTCTTATAAGCTGGAAATTCCTCCTGTCTAGCTGGTGCCTATCCAAGCAAGTCCTTTTTCTTTGCCTCTCCATGGACCGTTCTTTAAAACTCAGCTTGGCTTTTTGCAGTCTGCAGTTTCAGATAACACAATAACCATGTTCCAATGTATTAAACTTTTAACATCCTCAAGATTCAATTAATCTTATCTTTACAACTCCCAATTACAGGCACTAATTAAGTGAAGGTTGCATTGTGGACTGGGGATATTACGTTAATCATCAGCCACCTTGTAGCCATAAATTAGTTCTTTCCCAATCCTTCAGCATTTTTCCCAGAAGGAATGGAATGTCTCATTTCCCTGTTTTAAGGGACATTAATCCCACAAAGGAGCTTTGGATCGGGATTAGTTTTATCACATTTATGTAAGTGGTGAATGGTCTTTGTAAAATGAAAGCTACTGGCTTTGTCCAAGACAAATGAAATTGAATTTTTTTGATAATTATGCAGTTTAAGGCACCGTCAAACTTTAGTCAGAGGATGTTGGGAGCACTTTACTATATTTATTATTTTATAAGATTAGGTGCTACATAGTGTTTTCCCTTAGTGTGTGTTTTTTTTTTTTTAAGCCATCAGTTTAAATCGGCTTAATGTCTAAATCTTGAAGCATCGTATATGTGATTTCTTTCCTTTGTTGTCCTTTCTAACCTGTCAGATCGCAACAGGTATATTTACTTTGATTTCAGACAAAAAGAGTATGGGATGTGACTTCTCTGTATTTTTCCTCACATTGTAGATAAACTTTTGACTTATAAGTTGAGAAGTTGAACAAGGAGACTGGCTGAAAATCTCTAAAATGGAGTGTCTTTTGAGAGATCCTATCAAAAGTAGAGCAATACTGTGCACCTCTTGTTGAGACTGTGCAGTTGCCTGCTACAATATCCTGTTTTCAGCTTGTTACAATGAGAGGTGATGATTTTTGACATCTTTATTGAAAATAACAGAAAAATGCATTCTTCATTACTCCTGTTGAACAAAAGTTATAAATGCCTAATTTTTACCTTTGTGAACACTGAAATAGTGTAACTCTAAAGCAATAAGGTAAGTAACAATTTATGAAAAAAAGCCCAGCCATGTGAAACTTTTCTCATCTCTGCTGAGAAAGGTCAGACATAGCACCATTTCTGTAATTACCAGAAGTGTTTTTTTGTGATTTTTTTTTTGTTGTTGTTGAAGTTGTTTCTAATGTCTTTGTATTAAAGCATATTCAAGTGTCCAAATTGCTTTTAAGAAAACAGAATTCATCTCTTATTTCTAGCTTTCTGATGTCAGCTGAGCAAGCGTTCAGCAGTCGTGAGATGTTGAATGCACAGATGAGCTCATTGGAAGGCTTCTGAGTGGTGGAAATGATCAGACTTAAATTTGCCATGACTTAGTGTATGATCTGTTCACGTGACCGAACTGTTTTAGAAGTTGAACTCAGCTGCAGTTTTTTGATGATCACAGGAAAACCTCTCAATTAGAATTTTGTGTGACTTTAGGCAGTAGATTGTTTTTCCAGAATTAGGTTCACTACTTTGCACTAGTAAAACAACTCATTTGCAGACAAATTTCTTGGCACTCTCTTTACTACTGATCATACAAAGCTGTCTTTAAAAAAAAGTGTAGAAGTTGCTCACTATTTCCTTTAAGGCTGTTTTCCTCAGAAGATGCTGAGTTTTTCTGCTCACCTCAGCAAGAAAATTATCTAATAGTTTAATTCTGTTCATTTCACATCGAATGATATAATCCACCACCGCTTTGACTGTTGCGATGAATATTTACTTTTTGAATAAAACTAAAAAGATTTGGACAGATTATTCTTTGAAAGAGTTGATCTTCGTTCCCTTTAGATATGTCAGCATACATAACCCTTCCTCCTCATCTTCTCAGCCTGTCTAAAATGTCTTATGTGTTAATCTTCAGCACAGCCTCATAGTTTCATTTTGCAGGTATCTTTCTGGCAGAAGACAAGTCTACTGTTCCCTATCCAGATTTATTTCTATTTTTTTCCAGTGCTGTATCATCACTTTGTCATTTTAGTTCTCTTTCTACTTTGTGAAGTCCTGTGATACTGTTGAAAAAAAAATTGCAGGAAAATAACACACATCATTTAAAGCATCAAAAGATTTTGATTACAATACTGACTTTCTTCCATGTTTATGTGTTCTTCATTGTTTATGTTTTCTTGATAAGTTCCAGACTTCTAAAATTTTAGGTTATGTTTCTAGCCATTAGTTTTAAGTGTGCTATTCTGAAAGCTATTACCACACTTGTTTTTACCCTTGTAAAAAATTTCTTTCACTCTTTTTAGGTTGGATTATGACTTTATTTTTCTTATCTGTTAACTTTTTCCTAGGTATGCCATACCTCCAGAACATGGCAAGAGATTGGAACGCCTGGCAAAAGGTAAGCTTTGCTTCTTCCTTTGTTAGTGTTGTTTGGGCAAATATATGGGTACGTTCGTAGTGAAACATGGAGTATTTGGGAGGAGAATCCCACCCTTGATTGTAAATGGACTTGCAAAGAACTGATATTTAACTGGCTGCTATAATTTACTCTTGCAAGAACCACTTGGTCATTCTGCATTGCTGTAACAATTTCGGGGCCAGAAACCTTGTCATCTTGCCAGAAGAGCTGGAAACAGTTCCTACCAGGGCAGCTGTTTTCTCAAAGCCTCAGTCTGCTGACACACCAAGGCCCTAACTGAAACTGATGGAAAAACCTTTAACCTTGAGGCTTTGAGACTAAACCCTTCCATTGTCTAGGAAACGAATTTAATAAGAGTCCCGTCGTGTTTCTCCATATGTAATATGTGGTTTGTCACAGTGAGAACTCTGATCCTGTTGTGTGGATTGCAGTCTGTGGGGTCTTTGTGATACGTCCCCGCACACATAAACACGCTCTCTACTGGGAAAAGATGTCGTGGAAAGTATTCTTGCTTCCTACATTAGAAATGTTACATATACTGTATTCATATTGATTACTTTGGAGCATCTTAACTAGAAAAGCCCTTAAAAATTCACTAATCAAGCATTCAGGGAGAACAGTTAGTGGAGTTCACTTTGATGTATAACAATGCATGTATTCAGTGACTTTCCTTTTATTCTAGCCTCGTTCATCTTATCAGTACAATAAAGTTCCTCTTTAAAAAAAAAAAAAAAAAAAAAAAGGTTCTTGCCTGACTACTGCCAAGGTCATCCTGGAAGTTGCCACCCATCCTCAGTGAGAGGGGTGAGCGCAGAGTTCGGGACTCCTGCTGCTTTCCAGTTGATAATGCTGGAAGCTTCAGGGAAGATGACTGACTGCAGAAATATATATTTTTTAATTTGTTGATGTTGTGTTAGGCTTTTTTGTTGTTGTTGTTGCTATTTCCATGCACTTGCAAATGTTCTGAGAGCTGCCCAGCTAAAAAAAGCTCCTGCCCCAGAATAATTAACTCAAAATCTACATATTTCATCCCCAGTGAGGCATACTTTAATGGTTTAAATCTGTTGTTGAAGTTAGTGCAGCAGAAGCAGGCAGGAAAATCTGGAAGAACGTATTCTGGTGCAAAACAAAACTATTCTGAAACAGTTTTTCCAGAAGGTAG